AGTCGTTGTATGCGCAAGCCAAGCACGTCCACACAGTTGTTGGAGATTTAAACAAGAGCATTTATCTTTGCGGTAACAATCATGGAGCTCGATCGCATCCGAGATAAGCCACGTGTACATTTCGTAACAAAGGTATCGTGTCCTCGCCACTGTGATAACCATCATGCCTAAATGGTCAATATTTTTGCCTGCATGGTAATGAACAGTGCATCCGGAATTCCTGGCTGGTAACTTCGCGTTTCAACCAGACTGTACAGCGTACAAGTAGGATTTGACTCAGCGAAACGAAACTGACTGTCCACGTGTATTCTACAAAATGCGCATTTCTGTTTATAGTAGCGGCGTTTACAATCTCGACCGATAAAACATTGCTATTGCTAAACGTGATCTTTTTAAGAAAATTAAAACTGAAACAGTAACTGTTAAACAAGCGCCACAAAAAAAAACACAATTTCAAACCGCAAAGCTATCATAGTGATGAATATTGTGGCACACATTAGTTTACTCTACTAGAATTTTACTTATGGATCTTTACAATTGGATCTAGATCAAGTTAAAAACAATTCTAACATAAATTTTAACAACAAATTATTTATTTCTACATGTATTAAAACTTGCATAAAAAACCAACAAATTATTTCTACATTAAAAAATACATTTAATGCATAAACAAAACTATACGAACTTGTTACAAATAGTGCAATGCATATTTAAATCTTACATTAGAATGTTATGTGTGATTTCATTAATATACTTGAACCATGAAACTGATCCTATGACGTTTTGTTTTGTTTTTACAGAGTGATTGTAAGATGTTTGCTATTATTGTATCGCATACGTGCATGTAACGCTTTGTATTTGTAAGTGTTCGTACACTCGAGAGAATTGCGCATTCTATTGGTATATACGTGGACAAACAGTTTCGTTTCGCTGAGTCAAACCCTACCTGTACGGTGTACAGTCTGGTTGAAATGCGAAGTTACCAGCCAGGAATTCCGGGTGCACTGTTCATTACCATGCAGGCAAAAATATTGACCATTTTGGCATTATGGTTACCACAGTGGCGAGGACACGATACCTTTGTTACGAAATGTACACGTGGCTTATCTCGGATGCGATCGAGCTCCATGATTGTTACCGCTAAGATAAATGCCCTTTTAACAAGATATGTCCAATAACCGTCATGACACGTCGACGTCATTGTGATCTCCTTAGGTATGTCCAAGCTCAGGGATTGGACTGCTTCTTGGCAGAAATCTAGGTGTTTCGAATGCCCTCTGATACACCCAATTTTTCGACTATCTCACCAAGTGCGTTTCGGTCGGAGGTGCTTGTCATTTTTGCCTGGTGCTTTTAACGTCTGCGAGTCACATTTCCTTGTGTGTTGCCGTCCCTTGATCCCAAAATGTGGCTATAAATACGTTTTTGCAACTGTAGGCCGGCCTGACTAGTAGTTTTGGCGTCGTCTTTAGCGCGAGTGGGTTTAACTGTAGTGCTCTGCCACCAATTTTCTTTAACGTTTAGCGATTCAATGCTGAACTGATCACGCGTGTGAATCGATTCTATGTGACATAAACGCATCGCTCCCAACCTTCTATGTGAACGTACTGAGCTTGTCGTACAAGCGGGTATGCATCAAACGAAAAGATGGGTGTACTCACAGAGATGTAACCTTACCACGAAATGAAAAAGGACAAAGTGTTTTTGTTTCTGTTTTTGTTTTGCATTCGGGACAGAGGTTCACCAGATTGTTAAGAGCTTACATGGATTACCAGTTCCACCAGCAACCTCTCTTTGTTTTGATTCCTCCTGGTTTTGGTGAGAATTACATACACACGATGCCCAGCCACTGTGCGCGAATTTTCCTCGCCTGTTTCAGAAACTCTGCACCCGTGTTTTTTTTCCTAGTCAGTTGCACCTAGGTTGTAGGCACGCAGATCAACTTGCATTTGGGCGAGAAAACGCCAAAGCATGAATCTTAGCAGCAAAACAAACCATGCTGACCCGGTTTGTTCTTGTTTCTTGGCCAGAAACAAGCATAAACCCGAAACCATGAACTAACAACAACACAGGCACTCCAGAACTGTTTTGGAAGAAACAAATGAGTTACAGCCCGTCTTTTTTAGAAGCACCTCATCACTCTGGCGAAATGGAACGAACCGGGCGAAACGCCAAAAACGTTTATAAGCCCACAGCACAGCCCAAGTAGTGGATACTCAAACGGGCATTAGGTTCAGAAGGTTTCGGGGGAAAAATTAGGGAGCATCTAGAACACGTAGCCGCCGAAAATTGGAACTAGACGCTGAACAATGCCAAATGGAGCAGGCAGCCGCAAATCACGAACGAGCACCCTTCCACAGACAGACAAAACACAACCAGTGCACAAAGGCTGTCTGTCAAGTGTGTGCGGTGGGACTGTCCTTCCAGGAACGCATGCGTACTGGAGGAAATTGTGTGGTTCGATAGGGCAGACTGCCTGCAGTCTCCGCGGCATCTCGAGGCCCTCACTCCACTGATTGGTGCCATCCATATCTACAGTTTTTAGGTAAAGTGTTGAGGGAGGGTTTAACAAAATTGTGTGAACAAGGTGAACACTTCTGTTCATCAAGGGTTTTCCAACTTCCCGAGGTTCACACCGTAAACTTGACCAGACACCCTCACCTCTCCATTTGTGTTCACCCCAGCCATGGCGTGGATCCTGTTGGTAGCTTTTTCGCCATCGCGAGCAAATCTGTCGCAAGTACCAGTCTAAGAGCATGCTAGGAGACATCGCGGGATGCCGGCTTGAATATACGTGCGGTAGTAAGTTATTGAAGTAGCTAGTCTCCATTCTCTGTGTTCGAATTCAGGTCCGCGTTCCAGCTCGTTTCGCCACACGCGATATTTACGATTTTGATGATTATTTATTACCGTTAGAACAGCAAGATAACGGCCCAGGCGCTGCTAGTCAAATTGTGCAAAATAAGTAAGTCTTTTTCTCTCTCTCTCTTGTCTTTTAGGATGGCTGTTTTGTCGGACTCGACTGTCGCTCCTAGGACGTCGAGCTATCCTGGCGATGTATGACGTGTTTTCACGAGTAGTTCATATTGTCGCAGACGAATTACGGCTAAGCTGAAAGGGAGGGTTAGTGCCGCAGTGACGAGCATCGCGAGCACCTGGCATAGAGCATCGCCTATCGCTCGTGCGAGAGCGTCGCAAATATGGACGACCCTGCGACATGTTTCCTCCTCGACGACGCCGCGCTGTTCCCGGCCTTTCCTGGTACTTTTCCTCGCACCGCCATACCGTCTCCGTGGTCCCCCCCCATCCCGTCAGGCGCCGCGGAAGAAACAGATCAGACCCCTCCGCAGAAAGACCATAACCCCATGATTCCCGCCGCGACATGCGGGGCGAGCGACCAGAACAATATAGGAGCAGCGGAGGGGGAAGGTACTGTTGATACTGTAGCCGTAGGAGGGGGTAGAGTGGGTAGTGGTCACTACTTGCGGGAAGAACCGGAGAAGGGAGGCGGCGGCATCACAGCGAGTCACAGTGTGAAGGAGCCGAGGCGAGGGGGAATGGACGGGCGGTGGCACTCGGGACTGTTGGTGTCGCTTCGGCAGCAGCAGCAGCAGCAGCACCAGCAGCAGCAAGAGCAGCAGCGAAAGCGGCGGCGGCAACAGCAACAACAGCAGGAGCAGCAACAGGAGCCACGGCCACATCAGCAGCAACGGCGCGAACAGCAGGTTGTCGACGCGAATTTCGTGCACATTCGCTCGGCCTCGCCTGCCCCTTCCGCCTTGGGCGGAAACTACCCTTTCGGATTTTCCGCTTTCCCAATACCCTCACTCCCGCCGCCTCTCCCCTTCTCCCCCGCCGGCGGGCTGCTTCCGCCGTTGGACGTGCGCGGAGACTGGGCCGCGGAAGGAGAGGGGGAGTGTGAAGCGGAGGGTGCAGAGGAGGCGGAGAGCATGGGTGCGTTGCCTCTTCAAGGGACGCGAACGGCGGTAACCATGGGGGGAAACGGGGGAGCGGCGGAAGGTGAGAAACATGCGGAAAGGGCGGAAAGGGCGGAAAAGGCAGGCCCTTTGTCGGCAGCAGATCGGGGCGATGGCAAGCAAGGGTGCGGGGAACCTGGACTTGAGGGCGCTCACGGAGATGTTGACGGTTACTTTAACGATAGCGGTGGCGTTGGTTGTGACGGTTGCGGTGACAGCCTGACAGCAAGCAACGGCATCGCAGGGATGGGTTCAGCGCAAGCAGACTGCGGGCGGCGAGTGGGGTCTCGAGAAGCACTAGCTGCCGCACACAGGGGGGCCGCGGCTGGCTCAGCGGGAGCAGCAGGAGCAGCAGGAGCAGCAGGGGCAGCAGGGGTAGCAGGGGCAGCAGGAGCGTGCTTACCCGGTGGTGTTCTCCCCGTGTGGGCCCCTGTGACCCCGGCCATCGTCGAGCCTGGAGCCGGCACACAGCACTGCCACGGCCACCGGCAGCAGCAGCAAGAGCAACAGCAAGGGCGGCAGCAGCAGCAAGAGCAGCAGCAGCAGCAGCAGCAGCAGCAGCAGCAAGAGCAAAAGCAAGGGCGGCAGCAGCAGCAACAGCAGCAAAAAGAGCAAGAGCAAGAGCAAGTGCAACAGCAACAGCGGCAGCAAGAGAAGCCAATGGAAGCAGCAGTTAGAGAGGAGGAACCTGGAAGGTGGTTACAGCAGCAAGAGCAGCAGTGGCTGGTGCAGCAGCAAGAGTTGTTGAGGGCTCACCTGGAGGTGCATGCAGCACGGCAGCAGACCAACGGAGAGAAGCAGCAGCAATCACACAGCCACCAACAGCATTTGCTGTTGCCGCCGCAGCAGCAGCAGCAGCAGCAAAAGCAGCAGCCCGAGGAGCATCACCAGCAGCAGGAGGAGGAGGAGGAGGCGGAGCAACAACAGGAGCAACAACAGGAGCAACAACAGGAGCAACAACAGGAGCAACAACAGGAGCAACAGCATGAGCAGCAGGAGGAGGAGCGGGAGTTTTCATCTGGCATGGTGCGGCTCATTCACGACGCTGCTCACAGCCAGTTCAACTTCCTGCAGCAACCAGTCGACCAACTCGCTGCAACCTCTCCCCGCCACCACCACCACCACCGCCACTGCCACCACCAACCGCCCTCCCCTCGCCCCTCGCCTCCCCCCTTGACGTCCCCCGCCCTCCCTTCCACGTTTGCCCCCTGCCCTGCCCTCGCGCCCTCGTTCTCGCGTCCCGTCCCCGCTGCGCCCTCATCCGCGTTCCCGGTGGCATCCGCAGCAGCGCCAGAAGCCACAGCCAGAGCTGCGGCAGCGTCGTCTCCTTGCCAGCCCTCCCAGGCTTCGGTTCCGTCTGTCTGTGGGCGTGCCACTGCGCGGGAGGTGGGGGGCGCGGGGAGGAGAGGAGAGGAGACGAGGGAGGGAGAGACGGGAACAGGAGAGAGTATGAGGGGTACTGTGGGTGGTGCGTGGGAAGTTAGCCCCGGGATCTCTGGGCAAGCGGTGGTTAGTGGTGGAGGAGGGTGGGGAGGGATAGGGGAGGACGAGAGAGTTGGGCCAGCAGTGGTGGTGGCAGCAGAGGAGAATGGTGGCGTAGTTGGGGGGAAGGTACAAGGCCGCACGACTCAGCAGGGGGAGCAAGCAGTGGCAGGCGCAGCAGCAGCAGCAGCAGCAGAATTGACAGGTACAGGCAAGGGAGAGGGCGTGCGTGCTGCATATGCCGTGTCTGAACCTTCTCCTCCTGCTGCTCCTGCTGCCACTGCTGCTCCCGCTGCTCCTTCTGCTCCCACTGCTGCGGCTGCTGCTGCTGCACGTGCTGCAAGCGCGTCTGCCACGCCTGCCCTTGTCGCTGCTCGCCCTGCTCCGAGTGGCCTGCCTGCCTCCACTGCAGCGCCTCTCCCGCGCAAGCGCTGTGCCACCTGGACGTTTGGCGATGCCTATGGGGCCATGGGAGGAGGTGGCATGGGGGGTGAGGTAGGGGGCGAGATAGGGGGAGCTATGTGGGGAGCTCTTGGCGGCCCCCTTGCTGCTGCTTTTGATGCTGGTGAAATGGAATCTGGCTTCATGGGGTCTGCTGCTGCTGCTGATGCTGCTGGTGGCACTGGTGGTAAGAGTGCGGGAACGGATGCAGGAAGAGGGGGAAGCTTGTGGGCGTCGCTTGAAGCGATGCAGCAGGAACAGGAGCAGCACGCACAGCAGCGAGAGCAGCCTGAACGGGGCCACTTGCACGGACAACAGCAGCAACAGCAGCCGTTGCACCAGCCGTTGCAACAGCAGCCTCAGCAGCAGCAGCAGCAGCAGCAACAGCAGCAGCCTCAGCCTCAGCAGCAGCAGCGAATGGCTGTGCGGCAATCAGACGTGGAGAAGTGGCAGAGTCTGGTGGCACAGCTGCGCACAGACAGCATCAGTATCGCCCCTGTCTCCTCCACCAAGAGGGGCCGATGGGGCAGTAAAAGCAGCGCTGCCAACCCCACCACCACTACCCCCCAGCCCCTCACTCACTGCACGCCTCACTCTGCGTCCGCTGCTCCTTCTGCTGATCCTACCTCCCCCGCTTCCACCCTCCCTTCCCCTGCTGCTGCTCCTGCTCCCACTGGTACTGCGCTGCTGCACCCGCACGCGTCGCCCGATGTTCTGTCTCCCCGCATGCACCCCTCTCTGGCGTTCTTTCGCTGCATCTCGGATCCTCTACCGTCAGGTGCCGCACCAGCCATCGGCTCAGGAGCATTCCCAGTGCCACTTGCATCATCGGCAGCAGTAGGAGGACGAGCAGCAGCAGCAGCAGCAGCAGCAGCGGTGGGAGCGGCAGCAGGTGGGTTACCACCCCCAGCGCCGAACCCCTTTGCCCGCAGGCTAGCTCTGCTGCGGCAGCAGTTGGAGGGCTCCCAGCCCCCTGCACAAGCGCAGCATGGCGCGGTGCTGTGGCAGCCGGGGCAGCAGAGGCTGCAGAGGCAGCAGGGTCAGCAGGGGCAGCAGGGGCAGCAGGGGCAGCAGGGGCAGCAGGGTCAGCAGGGGCAGCAGGGTCAGCAGGGTCAGCAGGGGCAGCAGGGGCAGCAGGGGCAGCAGGGGCAAGGAGCAGTTGAAGAGGGATTGAGTGTGGTGCGAAGGCAGCTGCTGCTGTTGAGGGGCATGCAGGCTGCGAGTGAAAGGCAAGGGCAAGGGCGTGCTGCTTCTGGTGGTGGCGGTGGCGGTGGCGGTGGCGGTGGTGCTTCCGGTGGCGGTGGCGGTGGTGGTGGTGGTGGTGCTGCTGCTGCTAGTGCTGGTGCGGCCCAAGCGGCGTTTTCTGTGCCTGGTGGGAATACAACTGCTCCTGCTCCTACTGCCAGTGCTGGTGGCAGTGTGGGGGTGAGGAGGTCGTGGGGAGGCATGAGAAAGGGAGGTGGTCGTAGCGTCTCTGCAGCGCGTAGCATGCAAGGCATGGGCAATAGCGTGGGCAATGGCATGGGCACTAACACGGGAACAAGTATAGACACTAGCATGTGCAACAACGGCATGGGCGCTAGCACAACAAGCAACGGCATGGGTAGTTTGGGGGGAGCAACAGTGACCTCCAGTGGGTTCAGTGAGGGCGGCTCACAATGCATGGTAGAGCCTTTGATTTCACGCACGCACTCTCTGCCTCCTGCCTGTGCGCCGGTACTGCCTGCACGCATGGCTGCTCTCGCCCGCAAGTGGGGCCGCCGCCCTGACAGCGCTGTGGGCGTAAGGGTAGACTCGCTGGGTGCCTCTCCTGCTCCTGCTGCTGCTGCTGCTGCTGCTGCTGCTGCTGCTGCTGCTACCGCTGGTGGTAGTGGTGGTGGTGGTGGTGGTGGTGGTGGTGGTGGTGGTGGTGGTGGTGGTGGTGGTGGTGGTGGTGGTGTGGTGGTGGTGGTGGTGGTGGTGGTGGTGGTGGTGGTGGTGGTGGTGGTGGTGGTGGTGGTGGTGGTGGTGGTGGTGGTGGTGGTGGTGGTGGTGGTGGTGGTGGTGGTGGTGGTGGTGGTGGTGGTGGTGGTGGTGGTGGTGGTGGTGGTGGTGGTAGTTGCGGTGGCGCTATGACAGGGGCTGTGGCAGGTGCTGGTGCTGGTGGTGGTGTTGCGGGTGGGGGTTGGGGAGGCAGCGGAATTCCCATGCAGGCGAGAGTGGAGCCTGTGGGCGCTTGCAGGAGGAATAGCATGGGGAGTGGTATGGCCAGTGGCATGGGCGGTGGCATGGGCGGTGGCATGGGGAGTGGCATGGGGAGTGGCATGGGGGGTGGCATGGGGGGTTCAGTGGCTGTAGAGCCAGCCTGCAGCAGCAGGAGCTGGAGCCAGAGTTGTGGGCTGGGAGGCATGCCGGCTGGAATGGCCGCTAAAGGAGGGGCTGCTGCTGCTGTGGCTACAGCCAACGCTGCAGCAGAGGCAGGAGGAGGAGGACGAGGAGGAAGAGGGTTAGCTGCACCAGGTGGTGATGGTAGTCTCAAAGCTGGGAGTTCCGGGAGCCTTGGCGTTGCAGGTGCGAGTATGGGTGAGGGAGCAGCAGGTGCGGCAAGCTGCTGGAAGCAACTGGGTTACTCAACGCAGCAGCAGAGCTACTCCATGCAGCTCTCTCCTCCCACCCCCTCTGCTTCTCGCGCGGACCCCTTGCCTCCCAACCCCCACTCTCTGCTGCCGCAGCTCCCCGCACGCCATGCACACTGCACCAACCCCAGGTCGATGGGTGCAGGAAGCGAGGGAAGACCGTGGATGCAGAGCGGGGCGGGTGGTGGCAAGGGCAGCGTGTGGGGCGGGGGTGCGTGTGCTGTCTCTGGTGGTGGTGGTGGTGGCGGTGGTGGTGTGAGGGGTGACGGCCTTGGGTCCGCACACTTGACTGCCAGCATGGGCGGAGGAGGAGCAGGAGGGGTTTCGGTCAGTATGGGAGGAGGAGGTGGTGTTTCACCCAGCATGGGAAGAGGAGGAGGAGGAGGTGTTTCAGTGAGTAAGGGCGGATCGGTGGAGATGGGAGGATCAATTGCAGCAAATGGCTGGGCAGATGATGCTGCTTGTTCCTCTTTCCCCCCCTCGCTGCTCCTCCCACCAGAATCCCAACCCGCCTCCGCTCCAGCTCCCATTTCGCGCGCTCATGCTGCAAAACGCCAGCTGCTTTTCCAGGCATACAGACAGCAACAGCAGCAGCAGCAGCAGAAGCAGAGTGAAGGAGGAGAGGTGGGTGGAATGCAGAGTGAGTTGCGGTGGAGTGCAAGGGGAGTGGGTGGAGAGTTGTCTAGGAGTGCATGGGACGACAGCAGCGCGCAAGCCCATGCACACGCACACGCACACGGTCAGGCAAGTGGGCTGGTCAACACGCTTGGCATGTTCCGACAGGCAAGTGTAGGTGCTAAATTGGCACTTCCTGTCGCTGTAGGCGCAGGAGGAGCGGGAGGAGCAGCGGGAGAGGCAGGGGCAGCAACAGGGAGAATGGTTCCAGAGAGGATGGCTGGTGGTGGTGGTGGCATAGGTTCAGTGGGTATGGCAGACGGCAAGGGAGGAAGAGGCATGGGTGCTGGCGTGGGTGGGGGCGTGCGTGGTGGCAGCATGAGTGGTGCGTGGAGCGAGCATGCAGCTGCTGTGGCCATGGGCGGGGGTACGAGGAAGGGCGTGGGCATGGGCGTGGGCATGGGCATGGGTGTGTCGACCTTTTTCCAGCGCAGCAGCACGGCCTCACGACCCACGGTGCCTCTTGAGGTACGGTGCAATGCCCCTCCCTCCCTCCCTCCCTCCCTCCCTCCCTCCCTCCCTCCCTCCCTCCCTCCCTCCCTCCCTCCCTCCCTCCCTCCCTCCCTCCCTCCCTCCCTCCCTCCCTCCCTCCCTCCCTCCCTCCCTCCCTCCTTCCCTCCCTCCCTCCTTCCCTCCCTCCCTCCTTCACTCTCCCCTGTGCCTCACGACTTGCTCTCAGCGCCTTACAGTACCTACCTGCCGTGCCGTGCCTTGCATTCTTTATCCACTGTGCTATGTGGATTGCACGTCAGCTCTGTGACCATGCTCTCCCTCTTTCCTGTGTGTCTTCTACAATCCCCCCTCTTACCTCTCCCCTCTCCCCTCTGCCCTCTCCCCTCTCCTCCCTCCCTTCTCCCCTCACCACCACACCACAGGTGCAGCTGGCTCAACTGACTGCAGAGGCAGCAGCACAGCCATGTCCCACTGGCCTGCTGGGCGCCCATTCCCACGCCACCTGTAATTAGCTAGCACCGCTGGATGTACCGTAACAGCACGGCTTGTAATATCTAGCACCGCTTGTATTAATAACAGCACAGGTTTTAATCACCAGCACTGCTTGTAATTATCACCTCTTCTAACCGGCACCACTTTTAAGAATTTTTGTTTGGAGTACGAACTCACTACCTCTATATGACCACCACCCTGTAATTCCCTGTAAATCACAAGGTAGTGTTGAATGTAGCGTAGCGTACATTTCAGTATGTTTGTGTTCATTGCCCCACAGTGTTGGGAGCAGGGCCTCAGATTCACTTTTAGGGTCGTCGACCCATCAGGGTACCCTTGTGTATAAACCCTGATTGACAGTGTTTCTAAAAAAAAAAAACCTGAAATATCAGGGTTCCCTTTGAAAAAAGGCTGATGTATCAGTGTTCAAAAATATAAAAGGTTGTTAATTACTAGAAACCTCTACTTCAAATACTAAGTCAGTAGCAGCCGTGTTATCATCACTGCCTTTGGCTTCTCTCCTCTCCTCAGCTTGGGACACCAGTACGTGACAGTGCTCTGCCGCAGCACACACATACACGTTGAAGCTGCAGGGGCAGGGTGTGGAGGAGGAACCGGATTGACAGGCAGGGTGAGGCAAGGAAAGAGAGAACAGGAGGGAGAGAGGGGGGAAGATTGGCACAGTTGGGGGGGAGACGACTGGGGGAGAGATGGAGTGCACGGAGTGCGGGGCAAAGGGAGCAGAGGAATGGACGGCGGGCGCGCGGGTCATGCGCGGATCATGTCGTCGCGCAGCACGACGATCTGCGCACCGCACGCGGTGCAGATGGCCTTTTCAACCGCGGTTCGTGCTGGCGACGAGGCAGCCTTCGGTTGCCGCCATTAGCACGAAAAACTACGCGTCGTCGAGTCGTAGCGGGCCTGCGACGCTGACGGGAATTGCCACGTGGTCTACGACCATCTAGCAGAATGCACTGCGGATCGCGTCGAACGAGAGCGATGTGTTCGGTGAGACAAGAGGAGATTCGGCGGCGCTTGCGATGGGTTCGATTCCCGACAGCCCGCCCTTTCTGGTGCTGATGGCGCCATGAATTAGTGCAGACGAGAAAGCAAGAGAGGAATCGGGCTGAGAGGGAGAGGGAGAGAAACAGGAGGAAAAGAAACAAGAGATTGGGTTGGAGGGAATGGGAGCATCAGTGCTTGCTGGTGCAGGAACCCTCGCAGCCCTCCAGCACAACATGGTTGCCACATCCTGATTAGCTATCACTTCATGCTACAGCGTTACTGCCCAATGAAGTGCTGGCACCGCAGGAATATGAGATTCCCTGTTTTGCAGGCAAATGCACACGGAACAAGTAAGAATTGCTTTCAGTGTTAGTTTCGTTACAACGCCGTAGAATCAGTGTACTTGGGAAACGAAAGTCTGAAATTTCAGTGTGGCCTAACAAAAAAGGCTGAAAGATCAGTCCCACAAAAATCTCAACGCTGATTTTTCAGTGTAGGTAAAAAAAGGGCTGCCAAAATCAGGAATTTCAGGGTTTTTTTCCTGATATCTGAGGCCCTGGTTGGGAGCTTATTGTTACTGTGAATTGATTCTTGAATAAAGAATCTTGATGATGGGTTGCTGGTTTATTGTATGCAGCGTACAAGGAAGCTTAAAGCCCGAGGTCAGCATGGTAATTATTCAAGTTATGTGAGGTTGAAATAGTATTGGCGAAACCTTTATAACAAGAATTTCGAAAATCTGTGCGGAGTGAAAGCGTATTCAAGAGGCGATGAGAAATTGGGTTCGCCATGCTACTGGTACTGTGCAATTACTGTTTCCGAGAATCAGGGTGGGGCGAACGATCCAGTGTGCGAAAGCACTGCTGTGGTGTCGCCCCACCAATTCCAGTGCTAACACTCGTGAGGCTGAACTGGGGTGCACTGTGCACACCAAACTCTTGCACGACTCCACTGAGGCAGTACATTCAAATCCTATATGAACAAATTGTCTTATGCTTGGTCGTTTGTGAGACTTCACTTCAAGCCAACAAAACCGAAGTGCTGTAACGTCAGGAAACATAAACATATTTTATGCCAATTATCAATAGAAAAAAATACAAATCAATAAATACATTAGACATACACAGGTCCTATACCTTGCTATCGTCCATCTGTAAGGCTTCTTCTAAGTCGTCCACGTAAGGCTTTTGTCAGAACTTATATTTGTAACTGCCTGTAGCTGTAGTTAGTGTAGTTATTTAAACTTTGTTTGGTGGTGCACCTTATTTGTTTCCTTTGCTATATGTTCTTCGAAACCTATAGTGAAACACATTCTTCCCAACTTCTCTTCCAACTCACTCGAACCTCACCCTAGGCAAGAACTACTCGACACCTAATCTCGGGCCTAGGCTCCTAAGCCTAGGCCCTAGTTTCAACTTAACTCAATCCTCGTTCAACTATTTTGGACATGCTATCAGAGCGACGTTCGTTCTGGCCTGTGTGCCCGCCTCACGTTTCTGCTGCCACGATTTTCCGGTCGCGCGCCTAGGGCGCGTGGCGATTTTCCCTTGTCCCGCCCCCGGTTGGCGTGTGACTCCTTCTCTGCCCGTCGCGCGCCCCGTGGCACGCGTCGGTGCCCTAAACCTGCCCGTCGTGCGCCTCGTGGCACGCGACGGTGCCCTGCTCGTCGTGCGCCCCGAGGCACACGATCGGGCCCTTTCACTTAAACTTACCCGTCGTGCGCCCCGTGGCACGCGACGGGCCTTTCCGCCCCTGCTCTCCCTGCAGCCGCCCCTGACCTATCAGCGCCGACACAGTTTAGCCGCTCTGCGGCTTTCTTCCCGCCCACCCCCTCCTCCTTTGTCTTCCTGCAGCCGTGGGGAGGAGGGTATGGGGGTGGCGGGTGTTGGAGTGTTGGGTCGTCTCCTTCCCTTCCCCTCCTCCTCCTTTCGTACCCACTACTGCAGCTGCCGCTACGGGAGAGGGTGTGAGGGTGTGGGGGAGCAGGGGGAGTGGCACCGGGGTGGCGGGTGTGAGGCAACCAGCAGCCGTCCCTCCACCTCTCCTCTCTTCCCCCCCTTCTCTGCTGCTCCTGCAGCAGTGTGGGGGAGGGGAAGGAGAAGGGTGAGGAGATGGAGGGGGTGACCAGTTAGTGTCAGCCCGCCTGCAGTTCCTGCTGTTGCTTGTTTGTTATTGTTTTGCATGTGTACACCTGCAGGTTGTATTCTGCACACACATGCTCAAAAACCTTGATTGCGCGGAGAGAATGGCTTCTTCGCTGGGACAGGGAGTCTTGTGGGTTGAGCCGTTCGTATCTAGGGAGAAGCCTTGCGGGGCGGAGTTTTGGCCGTTTGGGGCAGGTTGAGTGGGTTGGGAAGAAGTTCCCGCATCGCCATTCCGCAATGTCTGGAGCCCTTGCTCCAGGCTCGTGAGTCGCTGAAGCAGTTGTGCGAGGACGGCGGAGGGAATCATCGTCGTTTCCTCGTTTGTCGCAGCCGGGTTGGGCTGCGCTTCAGCCGTGAGATTCGTCTGACCTCCTGATCCTCCGGCCATTCTTACACGTGATCGTGTGCTGGACGCCACTTTCCGAATGTCGCAGACTTCGGAGATGGCGGTGCGAAGAATTCCTGAGTCGCTCTCATACTATGTTGCGATCATAAGTTGATCGTGGCCTAGGTGTCAGAATGTTATAATTATCTACCCTGTAGTGGGGTGCTCTATAGCGAGTACAACCCTGTTAGGGTTTTCTATATGTATCCCAACTACTACTAGTGAAACCCTCTCTTCTTTCATTCCTCAATTCTTCACATGCTATCAGAGCATCTACGGTCCTGGCCTGTGGGCCCGCCTAACTGCTTCCGCTGCTACTCTGTGCTCTGCACGCCCCGTGGCATGCCCCTCGCGCGACCCTTAGTGGCCCCATCGCCACCCCTCGCGGCCTTGTCGCCGCCCTTCTCGGCCCCTCGCGGCCCCTTCGCGGCCTCGTTGTCGCCCCTTTCAGGCCCCTCGCGGCCCCTTCGCGGCCCGTCGCCGCCCTTCCAGGCCCCTCGCGGCCCCTTCGCGACCCCGTCGCCGCCCCTATCGGCCCCGTCGCCGCCGCCAGCGGCCCCGTCGTCGACCTCTCAGGCCCCTCGCGGCCCCTTCGCGGCCCCGTCGCCGCCTCTATCGGCCCCGTCACCGCCGCCAGCGGCCCCGTCGCCGACCCTAGCGGCCCCGTCGGCGCCCCTATCGGCCCCGTCGCCGCCTCCAGCGGCCCCGTCGCCGCCACTTGCGGCCCCGTCGCCGCCCCTTTCGGCCCTTCCTCGACCCTGCCCCGGCCCCGCCCCGGCCATGCTCCGTCGCCTGGCGCGGCGCACCGGGGGCACGTGCACCGCCCCCCCCCCCCCCTTTTCCCGTCGCCCGTCGCGGCTCCCTCGGGGGGCCGCGGCGACCTGGGGGACGGGGGCGAGCGTCGCCCCTTTTGCCGCCTGCTTTGGCGCCCTGGGAGGCCGCGCGTCGCCCCCCCCCCCCGTAACCTCCCTACCCGCCATCCCGCCCTGCCCTGTGTTAGGGTTTGGGGGTGGCGAGTAGGGGGTGGCGGGTGTGTGGTCTCCCCTGCTCCTCCTCCTCCTCTGTCTCCCACTGCTGCAGCTGCCGCTGAGGGGGGTGGGTGTGTGGGAGTCGACGGAGTGGTACTAGGGGGTGGGGGGTGAGTGAAACTAGGGTGCAGCAGGGGGTGTGTGAAAAGGGGGGTGACGTGGGAGTGAAGCTAGGGGTGCAGCAAGGAGTGTGTGAAAGGGGGGTGGGACAGTTGGGGGAGGTTGAACGGAGGCTGTCGTCGTGTCGTCAGCAGCACCAGTAGTCCGGGGCGCTGCTCCGGTAGCCCAGTCGTAGCCAGCTGCGTCAGTCGCCCGTGGGTCCGTTGCTCCTGCCGCTCGTCTATAGCCGCAGAGCCAGTTACTCCAGTAGTCCGGGGCGCTGTTCCGGTAGCCGCTGTGCCAGTGTGACTCCTGTTGCTCGTGTGTTTGCAGCTTCAGCCGTCGTCTCCTATCT